TACAATGCGTGGTACTGATGCAGTCGACTGCTGGACACAAACTGATGACGAGCATCTAGGCCCAGTGTTTGGCCAGAGAGACTTAAAGTGTACCTTTCTCAATACCTTGAGACCTCTCCACGACTGCGGATGACTGTGTCGGTCTGTGTATGCGAGTACGTGCATGCGTGTCTGTGAATGTCCGTCCATGTGTAAACGCGTATGCAAGAAAATCTACGCGCATCTGTACGCGAGTTTGTGTGTCCGTTCCGTGTATGCACGCACGTCTCTGTATGTGCACTACAAACGCGGCGACCCGAGTTCGATTCCGGCTCATGGCCAACATCAGTGCCGACTTGGCACTGGGGAGACAAAGGCGGTCGGGCGTGGTGCTGGCCACCCTCCCCCCCTCGTGTGCCGTGTTGGCCTTCATAGGTGCTCGCTTACGGCACTTGCCCCAACAGTCTGTTAAAGCTATCGGGGGGGGGGGGGGGAGCTTTATCTCTGGATGCGAGCATTAGTCCACGTGCGAGTTTGTCTGAGTGACTGTGTGTGTGTACGGCCACGGGGACGAGTGTCCGTGTACGTGCGCGTAATGAACTTTCAAGGGAAGCAGAGAGAGAGAGAGAAGGCGAGCGAGAGCGCGACTCCCAGCCCCCACTCTCTCACAGCCCCACCCCACCCCCTCCCCCGTAAGCACAGGTGGACATTCCTGTGAATACGGGGACTCGTTACTTGTGGAGTTTACTCGCTCGTACTTACCGCCATCCTCCACCCCCCCGCAGCATGCAAAGAGTAAATCTGCCCCATGTGTGCGTCCCACACCTGCATAATGAGGTTCGGTGCTGTTATACCGAAGACAAAAGGGGCTTACGGCAGGCAAGGGCAGCGTTGCAGATGCGATGCCCCTGGCAATGACCTTTGCCTGGGTCAGAGAAGTGACCACAGCTGATGTGGACCCAGTCAGCTCATTCTTGTACCAAACTGTAGACTGACGAACTGGACAGTTGTATCTTGATTTGAAGCTTTCGTGACTACAGGAATCCACGTAGGTATAAAATAAACGTCGTGATTTATTTTATTTTATACCTACGTGACTTTACCGAAAGAACCAAAGAGTATGGACCTTTGTAGACGAGCTGCATTTTCTGTGTCTACTTGTGCCGTGTGTACTCAGGTCGACACTGAAAAGAGACTTCCGGTCTCAACGGACTCATTATTAACATAATCCATAATCTGTCCACTGCTGGAGGAAAGCCTCTCCAAGCCATCGTCGTCTCTCAATATCAAGTTGCAGCATTCCCTCTGGCTCCTGCACGTGGGCCGATTTCATCGCTCCATCCCCACCACACCCGCCCTCTCGGGCGTCGGTTGCCTCCTTTGGCTGCCACTCCATCGTTAGCCTTGACCACCGGCCATCGTTCATACGAGCAACGTGTTATGCCCAAGCCCACTTCCTTTTTTTAAATGGTCAGCACGGACTATTATACCCGGCGAATCCACCGATATAATAAAGCCAGGCTTATGCTGCGGATCCATGTCACGTACGAACTATACACGGTACAACACATTTACAGAGATACATACAAGGGCAGAGTGGTGGCACAGTGGTTAGCACACTGCGCTATAAGTCCAGCAAGCAGAGTTTAATTCCAGGTCGTGAGTGGCTTTTAAGCTGGTCAAGGGCACCCCCCCCCCACCACCACCCGCCCCCATCACCAACCTGCACGGTGAAGTATGGTCAAACATCCCCCATGATCGACATGGTGTGGGGAGGTCTTCATCCACCAGCGGATTGTTATTATTCGTACGATGTGTGTATATGTATAGATATAATAGGGGCAGTGGTCGTGCAGCGGATAGCGCGCTGCGCTGCGAACCCGGTGTCCTGAGTTCAATTCCGGCCCACGGTCACCAAAATCAGTGACGATAATCTGATCTGTACCTGGTGCGGTGTGTAAAAACATCGGCACTGGGGAGACTAAGGTGGCCGGGTGTGGTGCTGGCCGTTCCGGACTTTATAGGCGCTCGCAAACAGCACTTGCCCAAAAAGCTTATTCAAGGCTATACGGGGGATCTTTCGTGTTTTATAAGACTGTATATATATATGACATGGGCGCTATTGCGAAAAACAAGAACAGTCCTACAGTAAGTGCAAGTGCTGGCGTATCTCAATTACAGAAACAAATTATTCTGAGCAGCCTTCACAATGTTAAACATTGCACATCCCTCCGCGTGCTGCGCGACACGTTTATATTTTACTGGACTGTAAAATTTGCACGCTCTTAAAATGAAAAATTCCGTCCCAAATCCAGTTACACAACTCGGTATGAAATTTGCGTAACACCGCCCGTGTGCCATGGCCACTCGACATTTACGGCAGCCAAGATTTGATGCGCTGCAAACAAACGGCATGTTTGTTTTCTCCGCGATAAACAAGGCAAGTATCTCCTGTACAGCATTAATAGACCGTTGTGGCAAGTGCTGTTAGCGAGTAGCACCTATCAAGGCCGGCACTGTGGCACGCGAGGGGGTGGCTGGCCAGCACCACGCCCGGCCGCCTTTGTCTACGGACACCACACTAGGTAATCATCAGGAGGCAGAGTCGACCCAGGTGAAGCCCAGGACCATTTCAGATAATCGTCACTGGTGTTGGCCACGAGCGGGACTTGAAATCGGGCCGTGTGGGGTTCGGTATCGCAGCCTACTAACGGCTACACTACCGTTCCCCTGCGAAACAGAAACTCGGGCACGCGCACACACACAAATCTGAGACACACGTGCTTTGAACCGGACGGCAATAATGCTGCTAAAACAGAGGGTGTCAAACTTTTAGACCTTCACCGCCAGCCGGGCAGATTGTTGTCTAGGTATTCAATAACTGGAGACTTACCGTAATTATTCGCTGGTAGGCAAAACAAACGAGCCTCCGTGGATATAGACAAAGGCAAAAAAAAATCCCCCGTATAGGCAAAGACGCTGTTTGGGGCAAGTGCTTTTAACGAGCACGTGTGAAAGCCGGCAAAGGCATAAGAGGGGATTTGGTTGAGACCAGCAACGCTATGCCTGGCCATGTTTGCCTCCACAGTACTAATGTTTACACAGTTCTGCGAGTACTCGATTAAGGCCGAGAAGATATCGAGGAAGCCAACAGTTCAGATATCCATCACTGATGTTCGCCGCGAGCAGGAATCGAATTCCAGGTTGGGCGGGTTCGTAACGCAGCGCGCTAACCCGCAATAACAAACTTGTTCCATTCGCCAGAGCTGAAATCGGTGCCACCCCAGGTAGCAAAACGTAAGTAATATCGATTTATCTATGTCTACCTAAAGCCTATATAACCTCGTGTTACATCAGCTTTTTTTCCTGCGTTAGCAGTTCTCTTGCTGTGTTTGTCTCATCCTGATAAGGGTTGCTTGTGTTGCGACCGAAACGTCGTGATCTATTAATTTTCTATCTACGTGACTTTACCGAAAGAACCAAAGAGTATGGATTCCTGCAGTCACGAAATCTTCAAATCAAGAAGGAATGAATTATTTGATACCTATATAACCTCTTGCCACGGCAGCTCTCTCGCCCACTTCAGCAACTTTTTTTTCTTGCTGTGATTGTTCCCAAATGAAGGTTTTTTTCTTCTTGGTTCTTTCTGTAAAGTCACGCAGAAGGGAAATAATAAAATAATAAAAATAAAACATTATAAAATTACATTCTCACGACGTTTCGGCCACAATACAAGCTTGGCAGCCAAGCTTAGCAGTGTTCATTGGAGCGCTGTCTTTCCGACAATTCTGTTTCTTCACCTGAGGACGGCTGCTTGTGTTGTGGCCGAAACGTCGTGAGAATTTTATTTTACGTTTTATTTTTATTATTTCCCTTCTACGTGACTTTACCGAAAGAACCAAGAAGATGAATCCCTGCAGTCACGAAAGCTTCAAATCGAAATGATGAAGGTTGCTTGTGTTGCAATGGAAACGCCGTGATTTGTTTAATTTTATTTTATTTCTAACTACGTGACTTTACCGAAAGAACCAAAGAGTACTTGATAACGCTCTTCTTGCAAATTGGTTGTCCCATCATTCAACGTGGTTGGCCACATCGAGGCATTGGGAACGGGGCTCACGTGACGCCACCTCTGGCGGCACCGACGCCACGTGGGCGCGCAACCGCCTGGTGTGGCCTCGCGGACCGACTCTCGCTCGCCACCAGCACCGGCGGCGGAGAGAGCGCAACGGCGAGAGCTCGCACAACGCCACGCGCTCGTCCTTTCCGTGCGCCAATCCCACCCGCGACACAGATTACATCTCGGAGAGACTGCCAAGCGGACGAGCAGGCTTTGGCGTCACGCGGGAAAGGCATTCACACCCACGTACAAAGACAATGATTCCCCCCCCCCCCCCACGTAGCCTTTACAGACTGTTGGGGCAAGTGCTGTTAGCGAGCACCTACGAAAGCCGGCACGGCACAAGAGGGGGGTGGGGTGGCCAGCACCACGCCCGACCGCCTTTGTCTCCTCGGTGGCGACGTTTACACACAGCACCAGCTCCTCATTTAAGGCTGAGTCGACCGAGGGAAGGGCCAGGACCGATTCATATAATCGTCACTGGTGTTTGGTGGCCATGAGCAACGCCCACGTGCACATGAATGCAAGCACGCATGCAAGGGCGCACGCACGCACCAACATGACAGCTCCAAAGTGGCGGCGCTTTTCAAGCAGACACACACGGACGGACGTGCGAGGGCATAAACCCAAAAACCCAGCCCCATCGCAGCAAACGCATCACTCTAACCCCCCTCCCCCAAACCCCGGCGAGCCGCTCCACAAACACGCACGCACCCACACATTTCCGGCTGAGATGCACTGGGGTGGGAGCACAAGGGGGGGGCGGACGTAAGGAGGAGAGCGGGTTTGCGTGGCTAGACCGAGCAAGCAGCTTCGATTTCATTCAAATACCATCATCGGCAGCCACGGTTTAGCATTGCTGGAGTGGTGGATAAACGCTAAAAAAAACCCGACGTCGCACCTTCTCTGTGGTGGTCGTCCCTTCTCTCATTTGGCTGCCATTTCCATCACCCTGGTCCATCGGCGCCTGCTCGCAATGTCCCCGCCCAAGCCCTACCGCCGATGCACAATAGAATAATGTACAGCCCCTTGTGGTCACTGCCCTGCTAATCGCAGGCCTCTCTCCGTGCCATGCCATGGTGATTGGTTTGACCATACTTCACCATGCTGGAGAGTGCAGCCTGAAGGGGAGGCCCAGCATCGGTGCCGGAAATCACTGGCCACTGGTGTTAGCCAAGGCCGGGAATGGTACCATTAATTCCACACTTGGCATCACAATTGTAGTCTATTTTATTTGTGCACCGCAAAGTGGTTTATAAATGATTGTTACTTTTATCATCAATCGAGGCTATTGAGGGGGGGGAGGGGAATCTCCCAATTAGCTCTCTTTAAAATAAGTTCACGCAAACCCCAGGCTTCATATATGCACGAACATTTTTCCATTACTCTCGAGCAATCATTGCTTAATAAGATTGGCAAAGTTATCCAGAGTTAATATAAAATCCAGCATGACCAAATCAGTATATTTGCATTGGAGACTTTGCCTACAATGACATCAGATCAACTCAGAGTGGCGAGAAATTCCAAGAATTTGCTGATGACCGCGTAACCGGGGCACATGAGATCAAAAGACAAGCCTGTTACGAACCGAAACAAATTCAGTTTGGGCTTCTTAGCAAAATAAACTGTAGTGTATAAACGCTAAAAAAAACTAATTAAACCAACAAACCATGAGATGAGCAGTGGCTCTAGGCAATGTTTTGAAAAATTCAAACTAGAAGTTTTGTTGTTGCATTTGGAAGCCATGCTCCATTCGGCGTTCTAGAATATATTCAGGAACGTAGCTCCAAACACTCATTGCGTGTAAAACGAGTAGTGTCACATAGGTGAACCGGCGAGTGGCGCACGGGTGAACAATTGTATGGAGAACTCTGCACGATGCAGGGATTCATCTTCAGCGAGTGTTCTCCAGGTCACGAGTAGACTGGAGTAGGCGCGTGCGGCTCGTTGCCACAGCCATAGCGAGAGGCATGCTGGATGTAGTCTGCCGAGTGCTGACATTTTCCACATCACCGACCGAGACAGACCCAGCTGAAATGGATCCCTGCCGACATGGACGGTTCGGTTCCCGCAGTTCGTGAAGCCAGTGGGGGGGCCATCACCACAGGATCACCTAAAGCAGGGACTCGGACTCATCGCCAGGTCCCAGGGTTATCACAGTAGCCAAATGCTGCACCGTAAAGCCAGCACTGCGGAGGCAGCGATGGTTGGTGGATCACATGTTGTGAAACTCCCTTCCCATGGGGCACCAAGGAGGTGCCATACCCTGGCTTGCCAGGAGAAAGAGGCACGGCGAATGTGGACTCCACCTGTTTTCATCTGAGTGTTGCCCCCTCGCACGAGTGGGCTTTCTCCGGGTGCTCGTGTGTTCCTCCCAGATGTAAACACTCATTAAATAAGCTGATAAAACTTTAATAGAAAGAGGACCGCTGAGCTTGGGGTGGGAATTTGGGAACGACTCACCACTAGGCTGCCTTTCCCGCTTGCCTGTGGTTCCTCCTTGCACCCCCGAGTCATTCCCTCTCTTTGAGAGCGAGCGAATAACGGTGCAATGCTTTATAAGCGCAAATTAATTATTATTGAAGCACTCAAAACATCATCAATAAATGCTCCTTCGGAATGACGTTAAACTGCTTCCGGCGAAGGCGTCACCTTAAACACAGTGCTGAGGGAAAGCAAACAGAAACGATCTTCACCATCCCTCCATAGTTATGGCTCAAGAACCGTCGTGCAGTGAGGTCAAGAGGATGGAGGGGAGATTGGATAGGAATGGGGGGGAAGCTTCAGCCACGGAAATGAATGAGTCAAGATCACAAAAATCGCAGTGCCCTTAATTCACAAGCGAGGCCACGTTCAGTTGAAGCGTATTGCTCCGCAAGTAAATGGAAGACAGTACCCCATAGCACAACATGATTGTGCAACATTTTGCCGGATTGTGGGTAGTAAAATAGACAAGGAATTAAATTCTCAGACATGGCTCCTGTTCCAAAACTCATAATTTAAAAAAAAATGTGTTTTTGTACTTTGCCTCTGGCCCTTCGGGACCAATGTTTTCATGCAGAATTTGTTTGCTTAAAAACACGAACGCTCTTGGATCGTTGTTCCCACCACCCCGCAGTGCTTTAGCAGAACTCACAAATACACCACCGGTGCTGCCTATAGTTATCTTCCAGAACACTGAACCGCACACAGAGATGCATAAATAGACTACTTCATTGATTCTTGAAACATCTGGGAAAAACCTCAGCAAGCGTCACGACCAAGGCCGCTATAACGAACACGGACCGATGCGAGGGCCAACGCATCGAGTGGAAAAAATCGTCGCTCCAAAGCAGTCCCACAGTGAGATGACCGTAAAGTTGTGCCGTTTTATATTTCGGCGGCGACACGGACAAAATCGCCTAAATAAAGAGGTGAGTTTGGCATCTCGCGAAGACTTGCCAACGGCCTGGGTGGCACGCAGTTGTCACGCGCCAACGCTGCCGCCACCTTCGTTTGCGTGCAAGTTAGCTTTTCAATGCCCCCTTCGCCCCAACCGCCTCTCCCGTTGAGGAGGAAAGACAACGATAGGAACCGTCACCGGTGGTGACCGATGGCGACACTGTTCCATGGCAATGGAGACCGCCGATGACAGCGATTGTCGTGTTCTAATTTCCGGTATCGGCGCAAACTCAATTCCGGCTGTCAGAGCGCTTACCAAGCCACTTAGCGGCCACGGCCGTCGTGTCGGCACGAGTCGAGCGCATTCCATCGAAGTCTTGGGAGGCATCGGCGCAGCGATAAACAAAGTCCTGCTGCGCTGAAAAATCCTGCTGCTGCTACCACACGATCAGATTTGTAACTCACAGGGTACAGGAGTAATGGGCATGATGTAACCGTCTGTAACAATTCCCCCTTCCCTCACGCCCCAGAAAGCGAATTAACTATCAGGAATCTTATCCGTGATTCGATTAGTTGCAGTTTCGTTTGTAATGTTTCTTGTTCGGTCCGTCTCTTTCGCATCGTCTCGTTGGCGACATTAGCTTACACGTCACATTAGCATATTATTATTTGGCACACAATACATTGCATGCATTGCGATCGTAACAATCGATCTTTACTGTTTAGTCGATGCGTCAATATACGCCGAATGGACGGCATTGGAGTTAGGGATACTGTTGGCGCTATCGTTTGACTGCAGTGATATTTTTCAAATAAGCATCATTTTATCACGTTCAGCGCCACCATGGAAGGAAGAAGCCCCATTGCGATGGGGGTCACACAGAAAGATGATGCCCATCTGTTTCAAAACTGCAGATTCAAGTCCTCCAGTCAAATATTCGCTGAGTGGGAAGGTCGCTCCTTCTCCTCTGCTGCCTCCGTAGTTTAGAACTCTCACCCCGTGGCCATCCGTGCTGTCGACTCCCTGTGCTTAAGTTCAAGTCCAGGCTCAAAACCTTCTTCTCACCACCCTGTATCCATGGCCTTCTCGTCTCTTAATTTAAATCTATACACGCACCAAGACAAATACTTATCTTTGCTCCCCACGGTTAAACATTATCCGCTGTTTTGTGCCGGCGTGTCTAGACACAATTGGATCTCGACACGCCATGAACCCAAACGTCATTGCATTGCAAAAAAAAAATGACAAGCCTGCTCTTAATCTATCCCTGAACCTCTGAACACCAACACTCCACGGCGCACGAGAGCGGGGCAGCACCTCTTCCAAAGCCAACCCAGGCTCATTCCTCGCGTTCCGCTGATCAGACGCCGGAAGAGTATTCGACGCTAAAATAAATGCATTCTTTCATTTTGGTTTCCTGGAAAGCCAACATGAGTTCCAGCCGAGAATCAATTAAACTATTTACGGTTATGCAGTTTATATACATTCCTCATTGTGCCATTCAGCAGCACATTCCTACGAAAGCCAATATATACACGGTACGCCTTCGATGGATCTCTAGAGCTACGTACTGTGCGTGTTGGTTTGTCGGATGATTCTAGAACTGTCCAACGCAAGGGTTGTTCTGCTCTAGACAGTAATGAACATGGAAACTAGGGCGGGAGAGGGGAACCACTTACCCAGTCATGCCCAAGGAATGCATTTACCTGCAATGACCTTTGACCAAAGCCAGAGAGATTATATAAAGGGGGCACGCCATTCGGGCGCCGGTAGATTTACTGACTAGTGTCAGGCTCATTTCTGTATGATGAAAGCAGCACACGGATACCGAGACACTCACACATGCACACGCTTCGAGACACACACATGCCTAGACACAAAGCCAATAACAAGACAAAGATCCCCCGTGTGGCCTCAATAGACTGTTGGAGCAAGTGCTGTTACCGAGCACCAAAACACAAACAACATACACACACATAAAAAGACAAAGATTCCTCCCTATAACCTTGACAGACTGTTGGGGAAAGTACTGTTAGCGAACACCTATGAAGGCTGGCACGGTAAAAGAGGGGGTGGGTGGCCAGCACCACCTTTGTCTCCCCAGTGGCGATAGTTACATTGTACCGGGTACTCGTTTGAGGCTGCGGCGATAATCATCAGTGGTGTTGGCTGTAAGCGTGAATCGAACTGGGATTACCGGGCTCGTAGCGGAGCACGCTAACCACTCCAACACCGCTCCCCACATACACAAACACACGCAAACACCTGCACACCTGGACACATCTAGGACACACACTTGTGTAGAGATACACTCGTGCAGACTTTTCACGACAATAGCTCCCTCTCTCCCAGACGACAATCCCTGCAAGGCCAGACTCTCAACCCTTGACCTTCGCGCGCCCCATCCCATCGCTTGTGCATTTTCGAAAATGGCCTGCAACCACAGAGAATCTTTCTAACCACCGCCGATGGCTGGGGCTGTGGTTTTCTCCACCCTTCCCAAGTTCCCGTCTGCTCCCTGTTGAATAATTGCACCCCGTTGGCAAATGGGAGGCGTTCACCCCTTGCCCAGTCCCCAACTCCCGGAAAGGACTTTTGGATTTATGGCACATTAATTTTTCTTGGTAAGCATCGCGGAGATGGAGGTGGTCGAAATCAGCTCGTGTGCAGGTGGGCTAGTCGGATTATATTCAACCGCGTGATCGTGGGCGATGGCGGAGGCTTGGGGAGGTCTTCATCCAGCAGTGGATGGACCCATGGCTGATTATGTTGCTTATGGAGCATAACGGAGATGACAGTATATTAACACAGAGGACTGTGAAGGTTTGCTTTATAGTACAACCTTGTATTTAATTTCTATGCTATTTTAGTGGGCTAATCATCTGCAGCTGCCATTTAGATTACACATGCCATTCAGTGGGTGCGTGTGCCATCGGTGGCAAGTGGTATCTGAACCTGCCTCGGGCCAACCGCGAAGTTAATTTAGCCTTAAACGTGTAGCTGTTCAAGTGTGTGAACGGTAACAGTGGGGGGAGGGGGACAAAAGACAACTGGGCGTGGTGCTGGACACACTACCCTCCCAACACGCACTAATAGGACTTTAATTGGCGTGCTTAAAGAGCACTTGCCCTGATGGCGTACAGGCATAACCGAGGTACATCTGTTTGGTTTCTACACGTGTGCTAATAACCTAAATGGAAAGCGGTGGCAGAGTGGTTCGTGAAACTGCACCACGAACCCAGTGATCCGAGCTTCACGATTTCCAGCCACGGGCCAACACCAGTGGCGTCGGAACGTGTCCAGCGTCTCTACTGGGGTCGAATCCGCCGCACCGCCACCCATCGGTTTACGGCGCGTTCCTTAGCAGGCGCTCGCAAACGCCGATTGCCCACCACCGGCGCACATGGCTGCGCGGCAGGGGACCTTTGTCTCGTTTTGTGGCGCAGTAATAACCGAGACAGAACGAAACGTGACGAGTAGCGCTGCCATTTCTAGATTTGAAGCTTTCGTGACTGCAAGGATTCATACTCTTTGGTTCTATTCGGTAAAGTCACGTAGGTAAAAAAAAAATAACAAAAAATCACGACGTTTCGGCCACCACACAAGTGGCCTTCATCAGGTGAAGGGACTGGACTGTCCAGAGGACAGCGTTGGAGTGAAGACAGCAAGCCCAGGTCGCGTCCTTTAAGCTGGGCTTGCTGTCTTCCCTCCAACGCTGTCCTCTGGATAGTCCAGTCCCTTCACCTGATGAAGGCCACTTGTGTGGTGGCCGAAGCGTCGTGAGTTTTTGTTATTTTATGTTTACCTACGTGACTTTACCGAATAGAACCAAAGAGTAGCGCTGCCATTGCTGTTA